GAGGATTTTATTCCATTGTAATTCATCCCAAAATTCAATAAGAATTTCCTCTCTCCCTTTCTCCAATATTGTTCTTCTTCTTTTATTATTTTATAACACGTTAGACTCTAATCAATTGAGTAGAAGCTTTGGGATTGAGCATAATGATCGTCAATTGTTCCGTAAATTTTCTTCATGATTAAATTCTGGATTTAAGGTAAGTATTTTACTTTTCTCTTTCAAATTCTTGACATTCTATAATTTTATTTTAAATACAAGCAAAGACGATAAATTTTGATTGCAACTCTAATGGAGTTTGAAAGAAATTATAACCACCCAAAGTGATAAAATTTCTATGCCTTGCCATGATTAAATTCATATATGATTGTGGGCAAAGAATTGAAAAGGTGGCATTCATGCAATTTAAATAAATTAATCAAATATGTGAATAATATAGTAAAGAATTTGGGAACTTTTTGAGGTAAATATTTTTCTTCGTTGAATTAGTTAAATAATATTATCATGTTCAGGGACTTGATTTTTTTCTACTAATTTCTTTTATAACTCAAAATATTCTTTAATAATCATTATGTGATTTAAAAAAAGTTTATATACATTAAAAAAATTACACGCGCAACGCGCGTACACTAAGACTAGTGTTATAGGAAAAATAGCGCACACGTGTAAAAAGGCTTTTTTATTATACACCTATTTATTTCTCGTACACTTTTTTTTTGTTGATATAATTCCTCTTATTTCATTAAATAAGTATTGGTGATATTTCTCGTACACACATTATGAAGTAAGACAATAAGTGACGCCGAAATTTAGCTGAATTCGAAATAATTAATTTAAATTATATAGCATGACTGGTTAAAATATAGTAGTATCATTTGGAGACTTAATTTCCCCAAATTAGGAGGATACGATGAGCAAGCTAATTAATTGATGATTTGATGCAAAAGAATCAGGCACTCATGTTCATTTAAATTTTAAAAGAAAACAGAGATTTTTCTATTAGCTGGTTTCTAATTTTCTATGGTATTTTCCTTGGTACATTTCATTATTTCAAGTTGGAAAACTTTTTTAATTCACACATGGAAGAATGTGATTCAAGTATAAAGAAAAGTTTAGGCAGTTCCTTTAACATGTATTCCATGATTTATTCTTCGTCTATAGTCCTTTTTAATACTTTGAATTAAGTGTAAACGGACTTTTCCCACTTCTTGTTGGAATCGAAAGTTCTCGAAGGGTTTGAGGGTTTGAGGCAGAAAGTTTTGATTTGAGTGGTGTTTGGTATGTTGGACGGATTTAAGGTATTTGGATGGGTTGAGGGGCATTGGGCCTAATTGGCATTTGGGCAGTTTAATATTTTTGGGCCTAATTGTGGTCTACACAATTAGGCCTGCTCAACCGGCCCACTTGTGCCACTGCCTTGTTCAGAATACACAATTTAGTGTACAACACATGCTACACTATATTTTAGGTAGTTTTCCCATACTTTTTTATTTAATTATTTGTTCCATCTTTGTATTCCTTTAATGTACAACTTGGCCACTTGCCAATGCAGGAGGTTACCCTAAAGCTTTTCTTCTGTATATATGTTTAGCATTGTACATTTGAGAAGAACAAGTTTTCTTCATTCATCAAATACACAAGCAGAAAATTACAATTTCGTTTTTCCTTTTTTACATGGTATCAGAGCAGGTTTAATTCTGGTATTTTTCTGCTTTCTCAGTCACAAACCAGCTCCTTTCTTTTCTTCTTTCATCTTCATCTTGTCACTATCTTATATAGGTACTTCACCAGAATCATCCGACACTCTAGCTTCTGCCTCTACTGTCACCACTAATGTTCTTGCACCTGCAGTGACCTTTGCTTCAGGAGCAATTGACTCCACTCACCCTTATTACCTTCATCCTTCTGACTACCCAGGGATGAACCTTGTATCCTCAGTTTTTGATGACAAAGGATATGGAGGTTGGAGAAGGGCAGTTATCATTGCCTTGTCTGCAAAGAACAAGCTGGGATTCATCGATGGTACTCTTATCATCCCTAAGACTGATTCTGCTGTCCAGCAGACATGAGGTAGATGTAATGACATGGTACTTTCATGGCTTCTCAACTCTTTGTCCAAAGAGATAGCTGAAAGTGTGCTTTATTCACAAAGTGCAAAAGATTTGTGGAGTGACCTGGAAGACAGATTTGGACAGGCAAATGGAGCAAAGTTATTCCAATTACAAAAGGAATTAAGTTCAGTAGTGCAAGGTAATTCAAGTGTATCAACTTACTTCACCAAAATCAAAAGCCTATGGGATGAACTAGATGCACTCAATACATTTTCTGTTTGTGTATGTGAGTGTGAGTGTGGTGCAAAAGTCAAAAGCTTAAAAGCACACCAAGATGAAAGACTTTTGCAGTTCCTAATGGGGCTAAATGATATTTTTATTGGGGTAAGGAGTAACATTCTATTGTCATCACCTTTACCCTCCATTGGACAAGCATACTCTTTTGTGATTCAAGACGAGAAGCAAAGGGAGATACATGCTACCCCTGCATACTCAGGGGAATCTGCCTCATTCATTGCTACCAACCAACAAGGAAGTTTCAGAAAATTTAATGAGAACAGGATGCAGAAAACAAGTTTTGAATCTAAGAAGTATTTGGGAATTTGTTCCTATTGCAAAAAACCTGGACATAACATCCAGAAATGCTATAGAATTCATGGGTTTCCAGCTGATTTCAAGTTCATAAGGGAGAAAAGATTTCAAGGAAGTGCCCAGGCAAACAAAGCTTCCTTCTCAAATCAAGAAAATGAAGAGGGAAGTGCATCAGGAGTTCAGAATCTCACCAAAGAAAATGTGGCTGAGCTACTGCAGCTTCTTCAGCAAGTGAGAGTGGGACATTCCAGTGCAGAAACCCCTGATGTTGCAGCAAATGTGAGCCATGCTGGTATGACAAATTTATGTGAGAATTTAGCCTGTTTAATTCAAATCAATGATGAGTCTTGGATATTGGATAGTGGAGCAACAGAAC